TCCCTCCGTCTCTTCGTCACTCTCCTCCTCTCCTCCTCCTCCCTCCTACTCCCACCGCACATGTTTACACATACCTCCCCCCCTGTCGCACCACCAAATGTCTGGTTGGGGCGGTGCGGGCGTCTTGCCTGAAACCTACGCACCGCTTACGATCGGAAACCTTCAGATAACCAGCCAGTCGCACGGATCGCGAGCCGAGGTTTTCAGAATGGGGCTCTCGCCTTGGCGTCGCGAACACTCGTGCTCATACAAACAGTAATCACACGGACGGGGACCGATCCATTGTCAAAATGGAACTCCGACCTGGTATTTCCACAAAGTAGAACGCTCGTCCTGCCGATATTGTAACAGTCACACGTGTGAGGGGGTGTCCAGCCTGCCCTTTCGAAACGGGGCTGTCGCCTGAGGCGTCGCTGATACGGGGCACCGCAGTTTGAAACGTGTGAAATGGATTCACGGATGGAGGCCGACGCCTGTTCAAAATGGAACGATGGCTTGAGACGCCAGTCGATGTGTGACCAGAAGTTTGATCTTATGCAGCTACCTCTCGGCTGAAGGGCGGCTATTTCACTATCACCATGTGGTGTTGGGTCCTCGCTTTGGAAAGACAGCGCCCCGAGTCATCCTCCTTCCTCCTCCTCCACCTCCTTCAGTCCCTGCCTCTGCCCTCCGCATGTCCACTTCGGCACAGCCCTCACACGCTTCGTGGCCCCTTAGGGGCCCCACCGACGTCTCCAGTGGCACAGTCCGCTTGGCATACCCGCACCCGATTCGGAATACTTCTCGCACGCTTCGTGGCCAAATCCGCCGATCCGGCGTGCGAGTTTCTCAGAGCGTGGACTTGAGCTCGCTCGAGCTTCGCTCTGCAGGGGGGGGTGGGGGGCACGTTATTTCCGACGTCATTTCCGACGTTTTTCGGTACCCGGGGACAGGGGGGCGGCCAGCCCAATAGGGAGCTCCACCGAAGGCCCCAGAGGCACAGTCCGCATGGCGTACACGCACTCGATTCGGCACACCCCATCACACGCTTCGTGGCCCCATAGGGAGCTCCTTCGAAGACCCCAATAGCACAGCACGCATGGCGCACCCGCACCCGACCCAGCACAACCCTCACACGTTCGGTTGGCCCATAGGGAGCTCCACAGACGGCACAATCCGCATGGCGCACCCTCACCCCATTCGGCACACCCCTCACACGCTTCGTGGCCCAATAGGGAGTTCCACCCAAGACCTCGCGGCACAGTCTGCAGGGCGCACCTGCACCTGATTCGGCACACCCGTCACACTTTTCGTGCATGGCGCACCCGCGCCCGATTCGGTTCACCCCTCACACGACTTGTGGCCCTTAGGCAGCTCCACCGAAGGCCCCAGTGGCAGAGCCCGCATGGCGTACCCGAAGCCGACTCGGCACCCCTCGCACGGTTCGCGGCCTTAAAAAGAGCCCCACCGAAACCGACACTCACAACTGCAGTACTGCCAATTGCATGTGGTTGGGGCCTTCGCCAAGGTGCGTGTGTGTGTGTGTGCGTGGGTGTGCGTGTGTGTGTGTTGTGTGTGTGTGTTGTGGGTGTGTGTGTGTGTTGTGGTTGTGTGTGTTGTGGTTGTGGTTGTGGTTGTGGTTGTGGTTGTGGTTGTGGTTGTGGCTGTGGTTGTGGTTGTGTGTGCGTGTGTGTGCGTGTGTGCGTGTGTGTCCCTGCGCGTGTGCGTGCGCGTGTGCGTGTGCGCGTGCGCGTGTGAGTGCGCGTGTGCGTGCGCGTGTGCGTGTCCGTGCGCGTGCGCGTGTACGTGTACGCGCGCGTGCGCGTGTGCGTGCGCGTGTGCGTGCGCGTGCGCGTGCGCGTGCGCGTTCGCGTGCGCGTGCGCGTGTGCGGGCGCGTGTGCGTGCGCGTGCGTGCGCGTGTCCGTGCGCGTGTCCGTGTGCGTGTGCGTGCGTGCGCGTGCGTGCGTGTGCGTGCGCGCGTGCGTGCGCGTGCGTGCGCGTGCGTGCGCGTGCGTGCGCGGCGTGCGCGTGCGCGTGCGTGCGCGCGTGCGTGCGCGTGCGCGCGGCGTGCGTGCGCGGGCGCGTGCGTGCGCGGCGCGGGCACGTGTGTGCGTGCCGTGCGTGCGCGTGGTGGTGCGCGTGCGTGCGCGGCGGCGCGCGGGCGCGGGCGCGCGGGCGCGCGGGCGCGCGGGCGGGCGCGTACGGGCGCGTGCGTGCGGCGCGTGCGGGCGGGTGCGTGCGGGCGGGGGCGTGGGTGCGTGCGTGGGGCTGGGTGTGCGGGTGGGTGCGTGGTGTGTGGGTGCGCGGGTGCGTTGGGTGCGCGGGTGCGCGGGTGCGCGGGTGCGCGGGTGCGCGGGTGCGCAGTGTGCGCGTGTGCGCGTGTGCGCGTGTGCGCGTGTGCGCGTGTGCGCGTGTGCGTGTGCGTGCGTGTGCGTGTGCGCGTGTGCGCGTGTGTGCGTGTGCGCGTGTGCGTGTGTGCGTGTGTGCGTGTGTGCGTGTGTGCGTGTGTGCGTGTGTGCGTGTGTGCGTGTGTGCGTGTGTGCGTGTGTGCGTGTGTGCGTGTGTGCGTGTGTGCGTGTGTGCGTGTGTGCGTGTGTGCGTGTGTGCGTGTGTGCGTGTGTGCGTGTGTGCGTGTGCGTGTGCGTGTGTGCGTGTGTGCGTGTGTGCGTGTGTGCGTGTGTGCGTGTGTGCGTGTGTGCGTGTGTGCGTGTGTGGTGTGCGTGTGTGCGTGTGTGCGTGTGTGCGTGTGTGCGTGTGTGCGTGTGTGCGTGTGTGCGCGCCCGCGTGCGCGCGTGCGCGTGCGCGCGGTGTGCTGTGTGTGCGTGTGCGTGTGCGTGTGCGTGTGCGTGGCGAGTGCGAGTGCGAGTGCGCGTGCGCGTGCGCGTGCGCGTGCGCGTGCGTGTGCGTGTGCGTGTGCGTGTGCGTGTGCGCGTGCGTGTGCGTGTGCGTGTGCGTGTGCGTGTGCGTGTGCGTGTGCGTGTGCGTGTTCGTGTGCGTGTGCGTGTGCGTGTGGGTGTGTGGGTGTGTGGGTGTGTGGGTGTGTGGGTGTGTGTGTGTGTGTGGGGGGGTTGTGTGGGTGTGTGGGTGTGTGGGTGTGTGGGTGTGTGGTTGTCTGGGTGTCTGGGTGCGTGGGTGTGTGGGTGTGTGGGTGTGGGTGTGTGGGTGTGTGGGTGTGTGGGTGTGTGGGTGGGTGTGTGTGCGTGCGTGCATGAGTGCGTGCGTGCGTGCGTGCGTGCGTGCGTGGGTGTGTGTGTGTGTGCATGTGGTGTGTGTGTGTGTTTCAGCGCGAAGTTATCACCGGATACTTCTTCGAATTTTGATGGATCAACCTCGTCGCAGCGTTTGCAGCTCGCAGGGAGGAATCAGCTCCCTGCGTGAATGGGGCCCACGCTTGAATTGCGTTCCCACGGGGCCCTCACCTTTCAAGGGGGCGCTTCCGGGTGTGACACAACACCTGAGGGGATGCATGATCAGGTCTACTCGGGGCGGGGAGGAGTACGACAACATCGCTGATACAGATGAGGAGCGCGATCCACCGTCGCTTGGTGTTACCAAAATCCCCCCCTCCCCTTCCGGGAAAATTTGAAACAACCAAATTCACCCCCCCACCCCCCTTCCCTGGGAACCTGGGAGGGGGGGGGGTAGCCCACATCCCCAGAAACTGGACGGGGGGAGGGCGTCGGGAGGAATCTAACCCGGGGATAGGGTGGGGGTGGGAAGGGAAGGGAGGGGAGCAGGGGGGGGGGGGGGGCAAAAGGTTCGAAAAGGCTTGATCCAGCTCTAATCGAACCCTGCCACCAGGGCTGGATCCAGCTCCAATAAAAACCCGCGAAGGCTCGATCAAGCTCTAACCGAATCCCACATGGTTTAGTCCAGCTCTCAAATATAATTCCACTAGGGCTGGATCCAACTTTAATGGAATCATACAACAGCTCGATCCAGCTCACCCAATCTTGCTACTAGGGCTAGATCTAGCTCTAATATCATCCTACTAGGGCTTGGCCCAACTTGAACACAATCCTACTGTGGGCTGGAACCAGCTCTGATAGGCTCCTACTGTGGCTCGGCCCAAATCTAATAAGATCCCACTATGGTCTGGATGCAGCTCCAATGCGATCCTATCAGGGCTCGATTCACCCTCAATGCAACCCTACCAGTGTGCGGTCCAATTATTAATAGCACCCTACCAGCGCTCAGTCGTCGCCGTTGACGTCGTGACGCGTTTTCTTCTTCGGACTGTCGACGTTGGGCGAAAGCGGGGGAGGGGGGGTCTGGCTCAAGACGTCTGCTTAGCACGACTGTTTGAAATGGTGCCAGATCTCGTGGGGAAATCCTATGGAGGAGACATCTGGGGGGATCCTGCAGGGAAATCCGAATCCAATCATAATCCATCTGGAATCCGATTGGAATCTTCAGGATTTGCAAGTCCAGGGGATCCCACAACAACTAGCTACCCCTGGGGTATGTACTTTTTACCACGCGTCGGCGCCTTGGAGCCACATTCGCATGTTCCCGAGGACCGCCACGAAAACACAAAACACAACTGCTGCGCGAAACAATGATTCGCGTGTCCACCAGGGAGGAGGCGGGGCATCCGTGCTTACTCCACCTGCTTGAAACAGGCGCACAAAGCAGCCGAAATCTACTCCATGGGGGCCTATGCCAACAGGCAAACAATGAATGATGCAAATGAGAAAGCAATCACGTGGTCGTCGTCGCCGTCGTCGTCGCCAACGTCGTCGCCCTTGGCGGAGCCCCCCCAGGTTCGACCCGCGGTGGGGGTGGCCCCCCCCGTTCGGAATGGGAAGTTGTTTGGCCCCTCCCCCCCCGATGCGAACCGTTCGACCTGGGGGGGGCTTGCCAGTAGCGGCAGTCAGTAAGCGCTCTTGCATACACATTGAGGTTAATTTTGTGTTCCTCTTCCTCCTTCTCATTCCTTCTTCTTTTGTTTCTTTTTCGTCGTCTTCTTCTTCTGTTTCCTTCTCCTTCCTCCTTCTTTCTCCTCCTCCGTGGGCCGCGCCTGAGCGCCCATGCGGGTGTTGGCCCATATGCTGACCGTCTTTGGAAAATTGCCTGCACAGATGTAGCAGATGACGGCGGATAGCATGTCGCGGACCTCCTGGACGGGGCGGCCCAGGGCGGCGCGAGAGCGGGACAGAAGCTTTAGGTGCCTGAGGAGGATGAGGAGGATGGGGAGGAGGATGAGGAAGATGAGGAGGAGGAGGCGGAGGCGGAGGAGGAGGAGGAGGAGGAGGGAAGAGGAAGGATAAGGAAGGAAGGAAGGAAGAAAGGAATAACGGAAGGAAGGAAGGAGGAGGAGAGGGAGGAGGACGGGGGAGAGGGGAGGGGTGGGGGAGGGGTGATGGAGCAGGGGCAGAGGGCAGGGCGAGGGGAGCAGGGTGAGGGGATGGAGAGGGGACGGAGGAGGGGGATGTGGCGGTGGGGACGGTGGCATGGACACGAAGTCGTGCTCAGTAGTGGGCGGAGGAGGGGGGAGATTGGGGGGGAGAGAGATCGAGGAGATAGTGAGATAGGGAGAAGGAGATTGCGGAGATAGGGGGGAGGAGATAAGGGGGGCAGAAGGGGTGGCTGGCGAGAAGCCAGGGGGCGGAGCCCTGCACGCTGGATCTCGGCGCCACACCGCGGGGCGGCCGCGCTGCTGCTGGCACATACGTAGCGAGGACTCCTCGGGCGAACGCCCTGCGCGAAAGGCTCAGCCACCGGGTACGGCCTCTGACTCCTCCTGAGCCCTTACGGAGGGGAGGGGAGGGGAAGGGGACGGGGGGCGCGTCGAGCCCTCAAGCGGGGGTGGGGGGAGCCTCGTGGCGAAGTGCCATCCCGCGACCGCGCTTCGCAGCGGTAGGAGCGGCTTTGGACGAGGAGGAGGATGGAGGGGGGGGGGCGGATGGCAAGGGACAGGGGCAGAGGCAGGAGGGGGCAAAGCAATGCGATCTAAGGGTGTGCGCAAGTCCTACTTGAAGAAAAGGAGGACACAGGCAGACAGACAACCAGACAGACAGACAGACACACACAGACAGACAGACAGACAGGCAGGCAGGCAGGCAGACAGACAGACAGACAGACAGACTGACCGACAAACTGACAGAACGACATACCGACAGACCGAGACCGACAGATCGACAGACCAGACAGACAGGCAGTCAGACAGAGAGGCAGACAGACAGATAGGCAGAGAGACAGACAGACAGACAGACAGACAGACAGACAGACAGACAAGACAAGACAGACAGACAGACAGACAGACAGACAGACAGACAGACAGACAGACAGACAGACAGACAGACAGACAGACTGTCTTTCAGACAGGCAGTTAGGCAGATAGACAGACAGACAGACAGACAGACAAGCAAACAATCACCATAAGCTCCATCCGATGCCGCTAGGGCATGGCCGAAGTGCGAAAAATCATACGGAGGAGGATGAGGGGGGGCAGCGGACAGGTGGATCACGCAGGGGGAAGAGGCGGAGGGGGAGGGCACATGCGGGCCGCGTCTCATTCTCGAGGCGCGCGGCCAGCTGCTCGCAAAGAGGCTGGTACTTGTCGCCCGAGTAAGTGGCCAGCACGGCCAGCGTCTCCTCGGGACGCTGGCGCGTCGTCCACCTCGTTCTCCTCCTCCACCTCCAACTCCTCCTCCTCCTCCTCCTCCTCCTCCTCCTCCTCCTCCTCCTCGTCCTCCTGGACGCTCACGGGAGGCATTGTCCTCGACTCGCACGAGGGGAGCACAGAATACACAAAGTGGATGACCGACGCGTATAGCCAAGAATACCGAGCGCGACCAACCACACGGCACCGACCCTGAGCGGTCGACTGCGGCCGACAGAGCGAGCACAGAGCACCAGCCAGGGAATACCGAAAGAGATCGAATGACTACGGCACACAGGGCCGGTCTCTTAGAGAGCCAACGAACAAAACTGAGTAGAATCAATGATTTCGGCGGCGCGCCCAGCGGGAGAAGTGAGAAGAAGCAGTCCTTCTCAGAAGGCGGCGGGGCTTCTCAAAGCCCTCTGGCTTTGTGAGAGAAGTTCAGTGTCTTCGGGAAGGCGTGGAAAGCTTCTCAGAAGCCCCCGAGGCTTTCCGAGGCTTCTGCCCCCCAGGCTCGCCGCCGAATTAATCAATGCTTGGGGGAAAAATCGAGTGAACATTGCACGCCTGAGTGCCAGGCGCATTCGCACGTGTGCTCACACTCGCCTGTCATCTCGCGCCCAAAGGAGTGCGCCAGGACCTGCAAAGCGATGGTACCACTAAACATTTTAGCCTTGTCATTGCTAACCAGATGGCGTCGTGTCCTTCCAGGTGTTGAGATTGGACGAGGCGACCAACTTGTCAAAGTCGTTCGTCATAATGTTCCCCACCTGATCACAGCTTACTCGGTGCAGCATGTTCCCCACCTGATCACAGCTTACTCGGTGCAGCATGCCAGCCACCATGCCCAACCAACATTACAATGGGAGACCTGACAACATTGCATGATCATGCGTGAGCGGTATGTTCTGGAACCGTCCGGCTCAACAACGCAAACGATATATATTCATCTGGGCGATACATCACGGCACCTTTTGTCGGCGGCGCGCCCAGAGGGGAAGGCAGAGAGGGCGGCCTTCTCTGGAAAATCAGAAGTGCCTCTGGCCTTCTGACAAGCTCTCTAGCCCTTCTCCGGAGCCACAAAAGGCTTTTCGGAATGGCAGAGAGCTTCTGAGAAGCCCCGCCGCCGTCTGAGAAGGCCTGCCCCCTTTGACTTCTGCGAGGCGGGAATTTATCCATATCCACCGCCTGGGAACCGACGACCTGGGGACCCAGCGGGCGGTGGATATGGACATACCTGGGCTCCTGGGGGGCCCCAAGAAACAACAGCCCTTTGGGCGTAGGTGGTCTAGGGAGTTTCCTCTTCCGACCCCCGTATTCCCCTTCGGGGAAGGGTGTACCCCTCTCCCCACCCCCTACCCCTAGAGCTGGACGGGGTGGGCGTAGGCTTTGGGGCGTCCAAGATGCCCCAAGACGGCTCCAAGAGGGCCTCGGAAAGCCCAAGATGACCTCAAGATGGCTTTCAAGATGCTCCAAGAAGCCCAAAGAACGCTCCAAAACGGCCCCCAGAGGCCTCCGAGACCTCCAAGGAGTTCCCCAAGAGAACAAAATCCATCTAAAGAAAATTAGCCTGACGGAAGACCCAAACATATGAAGCTGCGAGTACCGCATTGTGGGTATCGCTTTCGGTGGAGCTCCTTATGGGGCCACGCACTATGAGGGGCAGGCCGGATTGGGCGCGGTGGTGACATGCGAACCCTCCCCTGTAATAGATATATAGAGAAAAGAGATATAATTACAAAAAAAAAAAAAAAAAAAAAAAAAAAAGAAAGAAAAAAAGAAAAAAAACGGAAAAAAAATGAAATTAAAAAAATAAAAAAATAAACAAACAAACATTTTGAAAAAAAGAAAGAAAAAAATGGTTGGTGAATAAACGAATCTACAGCGGTATAAAAGCCAGGTAAAGCTAAACAGGATGAAGGAGAAAAAATACGCATAAAGAACGTAGTGAATGGTAACTCAAAACACCCTTGAAAGAAAATACAAAAATGACAGAAAAAAAAAAAAAGACATCCGAAATGATAAAAAAAAAAAAAAGCAGAACCATATAATAAAACAAAATGAAAACAGACATAAATAAAAGAAAAAAAAAAACAAAACGAAAAAAAATACAGGATAAATTGATCATAATTCGTCAAAATGAAAAAGAAAGAAACGTGAAGTACATGAGCCCAATATGAATGGACACCAATATAATGGTTTTAGATAAACAGGTAGAAGCCTTCGGTGGAGCATCCTCTGGGGCCGCCAACCGTGTGAGGGGTGTGCCGTAATGGGTGGCGGTAACGCATGCGGACGCAGCCATTGGGGCCTTCGGTGGAGCTCCCTATAGGGCCACGAACCGTGTGAGGGGTGTCCCGTAATGGGTGGCGGTGACGCATGCGAACGCAACCACTGGGGCGTGCGGTGGAGCTCCCTATGGGGCCACGAACCGTGTGAAGGGTGTGCCGAATTGGGTGGCGGTGACGCATGAGGACGCAGCCACTGGGGCCTTTGGTGGAGCTCCCTACGGGGCCACGAACCGTGTGAAGGGTGTGCCGGAATGGGTGGCGGTGACGCATGAGGACGCAGCCACTGCGGCCTTCGGTGGAGCTCCATATGGGGCCACGAACCGTGTGAGGGTGCGCCGTCATGGGTGGCGGTGACGCATGCGAACGCAACCACTGGGGCCTTTGGTGGAGCTCCCTATGGGGCCACGAACCGTGTGAGGGGTGTGCTGTAATGGGTGGCGGCGACGCATGAGGGCGCAGCCACTGGGGCCTTCGGTGGAGCACCCTATGCGGCCACGAACCGTGTGAGGGGTGTGCCGGAACGAGTGGCGGTGACGCACGAGGACGCACCCACTGGGGCCTTCGGTGGAGCTCCCTACGGGGCCAAGAACCATGTGAGAGGTGTGCTGTAAGGGGTGGCGGTAACGCATGCGGACGCAACCACTGGGGCCTTCGGTGGCGCTCCCTATGGGGCCACGAACCGTGTGAAGGGTGTGCTGGAATGGTTGGCGGTGACGCATGAGGACGCAGACATTGGGGTCTTCGGTGGAGCTCCCTATAGGGCCACGAACCGTGTGAGGGGTGTGCCCACTTGGGGGGCGGTGACGCATGTGAACGCAACCACTGGGGCCTTTGGTGGAGCTCCCTATGGGGCCACGAACCGTGTGAAAGGGTGTGCCGTGATGGGTGGCGGTGACGCATGAGGACACAACCATTGGGGCCTTCGGTGGAGCTCCCTATGGGGCCACGAACCGTGTGAGGGGTGTGCCGTCATGGGTGGCGGGGACGCATGGGGACGCAGCCATTGGGGCCTTCGATGGCGTTCCCTATGGGGCCACGAACCGTGTGAGGGGTGCGCCGTCATGGGTGGCGGTGACGCATGCGAACGCAACCACTGGGGCGTGCGGTGGAGCTCCCTATGGGGCTACGAACCGTGTGACAAGGTGTGCCGGAATGGGTGGTGGTGACGCATGAGGACGCAGCCACTGGGGCCTTCGGTGGAGCTCCGTACAAGGCCACGAACCCTGTGGGGGGTGTCCCATGATGGGTTGCGGTGACGCATGGGGACGCAGCCAGTGGGGCCTTCGGTGGAGCTCCCTATGGGGCCACGAACCGTGTGAAGAGTGTGCCGAATTGGGTGGCTGTGACGCATGAAGACGCAGTCACTGGGGCCTTCGGTGGAGCTCCCTGTGGGGCCACGAACCGTGTGAAGGGTGTGCCGAACTGATGATGATGGTGATGACGATGATGACGATAATGATGGTGACGGTGATGCTGACGATGGGGATGCTGATGATGGGGAGAGCGAGGGGGGGGCAGCGGGAGGACGCGGGCGCTGTCTTCAAAACGGGGGCCCAACAACGCAGGTTGGTCGGGAATAGTGATGGTTGCTATGGCTCCAATATTGCCGAAGAGGGTCCCAGAAGAGGCCCAAGGGAGCCGCAAAAAGGCCCCAAGAGAGCACCAAATGGTGACTTCTAGGGTTCCCGAGGGAGGGCCCTCATTGAAGCCCCCCTCATTTCTGATCGATGTCCCCCAAAATGGCCCCAAGAGCGCTCTTAAGGCTCCCAAGAGCGCCCAAAGATGGCCCCAAGAGGCGCCCAGACGGCCCCAAGAGACACCCAGGATGCCTCCAAGAGGCTCCCAACAGGCTCCCAAGAGGCTTCAAAGGGATCCCCCAGGCACCCAAGATGCCCCCCAGAAGTTCCACCATCCTCCCCTTTTTTCTGGACGGCTTCCCCCGCCTTTTGTTCTTCTGCATGCTCCCCCACATCCCTGATCACCTCAACTCCTCTGGGCATCGTTTCTGGATGGGCTGATCGGGATACTTTTTTGTCAGCGGCCGCGGGAGAGCGCGCCGGCGTTGTGTCAGGTCAAAGCGGGCTACGCAGAGACTAATTAGGCACAGGAAACGCGGGAAAAACAAACAGAGCGACGGGCGAGGCGACAACTAAGCGCGGCTGGGTGCTGATTGGGATATTTTTTTACAGCCGCAGGCGGAAGCGCCGGCGGCGAGCAGTCACGGTCGGGCTGCGGCCGCGACTAAATTCCCGGGCGCGCGCGGGGGCCGCGGATCAGGCGGCGAGGGGGGGCGGCAACCCAGGGCGTCTGAGAGGCCAGGCGGTCGTGCAAGCCCAGGGAGTCTAAGGGGTCAGTCACCTGAGGCGGTCGTGCAAGCTGCAACCCAGGGAGTCTGAGAGTCAGTCACCCAGGTACAAGCCAGGCGCGGCCAAAATGGCGCGCAGTGCGTTCCCAGTCGCAGTCGCGCCGAGACAACCGCGCGGTGGCGGGAACGATCTCCGCGCGAGAAAGTCAGTCCAGGGAGTCTGACGGGTATGAGCAGACCGAAACTGGTGACGTCGTCCAGCAAGGAGGGGGATTCTGACCGCGCCCGCGAACCGTCGCAGTTTCAGAAAACGCATCCGCGGCGGAGGGGTAAGCCTGAGGCCGCGACTGATTGGGATACTTGTTTTACAGCCGCAGGCGGAAGCGCCAGTGGCAGGCGGTCACGGGCGGGCTGCGGCCGCGACTAGGGGGGGCGGGCGCGCGCGGTGCCGCGGTCAGGCGGCAGGCAGCAGCGACCCAGGGCGTCTGAGCCAAGGCGTGCAAATCCAGGGAGTCTGCAGGGCAGCCCCTGAAAGGAACATGCAACGGCGCATCCAGGGAGTCTGACACCAGGCACCGAGGAAGCCGAGCGCAGCCAAAATGGCGCGTAAGGCGTTCCCAACAGTTCGAGTAAGAACGGGTGGGGAACGGTCCCGAGCGGGACGTCAATCCAGGGAGTCTGACGGGTAGGCACAGACTGACTGGTGACACAGTCCAGCGGGGAAACCCTGACGGCGGCAGCGGACCACCGCGACGTCAGAACACGCATCCAGGGAGTGGAAACAAAGTAGCCAGGGAAAGAACCTTCCACAACTGAGATGCGCCTGAGCCCTTGGACCAGCGACTGGTAAGAGCACAGCAACGTGCACAAAGCCACGCGGTAGAAACACGCGGCAGCTAGGAAAGCACCACCAAAGTGACTCAGCGCCACACATACGCGTGTAGGGTAGCACCCGAGGGACGGGACCGTCGCATACCCAAAACGCGCCCCTCAGAGTCACTTCGTTCCAGGGGCACGGCTGAAGGCCGTTGAAAGGTTGAAAAATCCAGGGAGTGACGAATCTATGGACAGGCGAACCCGCCAGAGCCCACAGTCGCGCGCCAGGCCGCGCCTGGCGGGTGAAAACATCTACAGCAAGGCCGGTGGCCACAGGTCCACCTGCGACAGTGACTGCCGAGTGGACGGTATTACCGACACGCACACCTGAATCCAAAGGCAGGAGGTGCGCGTGTCAGGGGGAGGGCGGCGGAACGCCGCAAGCGAGCGGGGCCCGCGGCGCGTCTCAAGGCTGCGCCAGGGGGGCGTCCAGGGTGCGAAACACAGCAAGAGTGGACAACGTGAACCCTACGGCTAGGATTCAGCGGCCACTGGTAAGAGTAAGTGCAGCGGGGCCAGGGGCCAGCTAGGGTCTGCGATCTGCGCACTGTCACGCAGTGGTGCAGATAGTATTACTGCGCGGCACACCATGGTCCAAAAGTAGGAAGAGTGCCGTCCATGGGGGGGGCAGTCGGGCTGCCCCGCGGTTGGAGGGTAAGAAAGCGGCCGAAGGCCGCACGCAGTGCGCAGTGAGGTTGTCGTGGTGGCGCATAGGCGCTGGGAGTGGGGAGTGAGCTCAGTCCCTCCATCGGAGCCTCTTTTCGTCTCTATCGTCCCGATCGTCGGGGCGGCCTCCGCCGCGTTTGCCGCCCGTCTGCCAGCGATCTTCGCGCCATCCATCACTCCACTCACCCTGCCAGCTGCCCCAGGTGTCCCAGGAGCTTGTCGCGCGGTCTCGCCAGCTGGTCTGCTGGTGGCTGCCTTTGCCCCTGCCGTCGGTACGGGAGTGTCGCAGGTAGTCGGCTCGTAGCCTGTCCCAGTCAATGCCGTAGCCAAGCCTCGTGTTCACCAGGTAGGCGTTGCACCCGCAGCCCTTCCAGTCGTCGAGAAACTTATTGATGGACGTGGCCGCGTGCAATTTCGGGTCGGATTTGGGCGCCCTGGATCCAGGGCGCCAAGTTCGCTGCGCGCGCGCGGTCCACAGCGCGCAGAAGACTGCGCCCAACTCCGACTGGTGTCTGGCTATGCGTCTGGCGGGTGTCTCGTTAGGACGCTCCAGGCCCACCGTGCCCAGCCAGACTTTGTACATGGGGCCACCCCCCTCCGGACAGGTCAACAGGTTGAGTGCATCCTGTTCCGACGCGCCTGCGTGGCGAGGTTGATAGGACCTCTGTCCAGGGAGCTGCGGGGTGGGTGCGGGGGAGCGTTCGGTCAGCGCGCCGCCTCGGTCGCGGGCGCTCTCGTCCACCGCGGGTCCCCAGGCTGGATCTCTACTGTGGTTGGCGCTGGGCGCGTCGTCCCCGGCCGAGGTCGGGACCTGCTCGCGGCTGGAGTCAGAGCTGTCCGCCGATGGGCTTTGCTGAGGCGCCTTGTCGCCTGGGCAGTTATCATCGTCCTCCGAGGCCGAGTCCGAGCGAGTAAAAGGAGGGGGGGCTCGCCTTCTCCGAAGTCGGGAGACTCCACTTTTGTAGGGGGGATCCCGTCTTCCACGCTCTCGTCCTTGCCGGTGTGGTCGGGCGGGTCCTGGTGGCCCACACGGGAGTCGTTGTCCATCGTGCCCTGGGACTCGTCTGTGTCGGCAGCCGTGTGAGTGTCTGGTCTGTCATCGCTCATGATCAGCACGCCTGGTGGGGGGGGACTCAGCCAAGGAGGTGATGGATGCGGAGGCGAGGGCATCGGCACTGAGGCTGAATAGGAAACTCGTCAGCGTGCTCATCTCATGTCGGATGGGAATGAGACCGCTTGCCGGGGCCAGAGTCGCCGCATAATTCCTCCAGGACTCCTTATGTCTCTCGCCGCTGGTCAGGTGTGCTACGACTCGCGCCGCGGCCACGCGCTTACCTTCCCAACGCTGGTTGGGTGGGAGACAGTTGTCCGGGATGTAGTCGCCATATACCGCCCAGGGGAACTCTGAGAGAAATTCGTCGGGCAAGGAGGCCTCGTCGCACCTGGGCTCTGGGGCGCTTCTGTCGCGATTGGCGAAACAAAACTGCCTCCAGGTGTAGTCCAACCCAGGATGGAAGTCGCGGAGGAAGGTTACCAGCGATCGCTGCGCGGACAATCCACCGATGCCAGGTCTGCTGGGGTCCTCAGCGCATAGGGTGGGATTATAGACGCTCCTGTTGCTCAGGAGCGGGCCCTGTGGTACTGGCAAGTCTGGCAAGAGCTCCAAAAGCTGCGCGAGAGACCTAGGAGTTTGCTCTGACGCTGCACCAGCACTGCCCGCGGCGCTGGATCCAGGGGGATTGCTTACTCCGACCTTGGCGAATCGATCCTGGACCCTGGCGTCCACGCCTAGCCATGGGAGAGAATCAGAAATGTCCACAGACGCCTGGGCTCCTATCTGGCTGCTGAGCGAAGGAAGGACTGGAGGCTTGGCTGGGCACAGAGCTCTGAAGTCACGATCCAGGATGTGATCCAGGGTGGCCGGGCCTATGTTCCATATCGGGACCAGGCAGCGTCGGCAGCACCATGTAGCATTCCATTTGCGCTCCCACCAGGCCATGGCTCGCTTGTCGACGGGAGGCAGTCCAGCTTGCTCGGGAACGCCTATGCCTTCCGCCGGCTTCCATATGAAACATCCCAGGGGCGGGAAGCCTGTGTCCCAGACGAGGAGCGGGGCCCCCTGGGGGCATGTGTCGCACCGCGCGGAGTAGATCTGGGTCTGCGCGGCTTTGAGGCCGAAACGCTCGTCCCGGATCCGTAGGATGGGAATGGTGGTATTGGCTCGCTCGGGGATCTTCATGCCCGTCGGCGTCATGAGGAGGTCCGCTAACGTCCTCGTGTCCGCCTGGGGGCTACATCCAAAGCCAAGTGGGAGGTGGCCCAGGGAGGGGAGGGCGTTCGCCTTGTCGTTGTTGGCACCCGTCCTCTGTTGCTCATGCTCCTTGACTCTGTCGGCGAATGTTGCTCCCGTCGGCGTTGGGATGCCCTGTTCCTCCAGGTGGCGCAACCAGCAGATGTCGCAGTGCCACCCCATGTTGGCGCCGTTGAGGTAGGCCTGAGGCCTATTCTGAGCGACCACCTGGCGCGTGGCGTCGGAGATCCAAGTGCCATCGGCGGAGCGTAAATGGTTCTTTCCACACCTGTCGCACCTGAATCTGCCGTTTTTCTGCTCGGGTGCGAGCCTCTCGTCGGGGATGTATGCAGGGTCCTGTCTGGTGCCTGGGGCGGGGGTCGGCGGCGGGGGGGCATTGAGGTCGGTGTTGGACAAGGCAAGTCCGCCGCCGATGTAGGCGAGACCCGCAAGCCGATCGCCAGGACCCACGGAGGCGTCGGTCCCCGCCAGCGCAACGTGTAGCGCACACACTGAGCAGCTGCGCGTATCCAGGGAGGTCAGAGTTGCGGCCGGGACGATTGAGGACAAACATTGGCGCTTTTAACTGAAAGTCCTGCCTGTCCATCTCACTCCAGGTCTGCGGGCAGCCGGCTGCCTGCGCAATCGGGTGGTGGTGCGCCAGCGCCACGAGCTTGGAGATGTGGGGCAGGACTGCCTCGATGCGTCCGTGTAGGTCGGCGAGGTCGTCCAGCGTGAGGCTCCAGGATCGGGCGAATTGGTTTCGGAAGCTCTGGTGAACCTCTCGCCAGGGGACACAGAACCCCAGGATGGCTTCGATGACGTCCCCGGCCTGCTCTGCATGAGAGAAGGGCCACAGAAACACGCGCGGCTCGCGGAGCATGAGCATCATGACGACCAGGAGCGACCGGGCCTTGCAGGATTCCATGGGGAGGCCGTCGGTGTCTATGATTCCCTCACGGAACTCGTCCTTCATGGAGCCGCCCAGCGCGCCTCGGAGGATCTCTTCCAGACCGGCCATTCCAGGGTGCTTCCTGTGTCTGCAGCAGTCCTTGGTGGCGGTGCTCCACGCCTTGGGGACCTGACGGAAGAGCCCCTTGGGGGTGCACTGGCGACGCTTCCAGAGTGTTACCCGCCTGCCACTGGTGTGAGGCAACGGTGGAAGGGAATCGTCGGGGACTGCATAGCTCGCGTCTTCCCAGGGGGTGCCCAGGCCGAGCGTCCACACCATTGCCGCCCAAAGCATGTTGTAGACTAGACTGGTTGCGTCTAGTCCCAGAGACATGTCGAACAAGAAGCCCAAGTGCGACCACGCCTTGCGGTCGAGCTTGCCTGGTTGTCGCGGCGTCGTGGCCAGCGTGAATTCGTGGGGGTGCAGACCGGACATCAAGTAAATGAGCACGTGGAAGGCAGGCGTCGAGAGGAGATCGTGGAGCCCGCCCGAGATTAGCTTGCCCAGGGCCTCCCAGTCAAAGTGCTCGTCCAGGGGAGTGTTATAGCGCTCGGCGAAACCGGTGGCCTGGGCGCCCCGCGCTTTCTTCTTGGCAGCGTCCAGCGCGTTCTGCCCGTTCCCCCCCGTTTCGTCACAGCTCCAGGCGACGGGCGAGGTTATCCATGAGGCGAGGTCGTGCATGGGCTCAAAGCTCTCGTCGATATCCAGGGAGCGCCTGTGGCCCACGGGGGCACTGCCACGAAAGCGGACCCAAAGGCGAGTCAGTCGCCCGTACTCTGAGAGTACGCGAAGCTGGGACCAGGTGGCATTGGAGAACATACGCCCGTCTCCCAAGATCAGGATATTCCGCTCGGCCCCGGTGATCGCCACGTTCAGGCGCTTGGCGTCGTCGACGAAACCCCAGTTGTAGTGCCCGTTGCTCCGCGTGGTTAGCACGATTACGATGTCCGCCTCCCCTCCCTGGCTGGAGTCGATCGTGGTGAGCTTGAGCGCCCCACTCTTCATGTGCTCGTCCGCAATCTGCCGTAGTCCAGGGAAAGAAGTGGCGATGGCTGCATGGACGTTATGGTCTTCTCGGAACACGTGTTCCCAACGCTGAATATCCACCCTGTGTCCTTGAGGGGGTTGTCCAGGGCCGGGAGCGTCCTGTCCGTCGCGCCCAGCGCCGCCTTTCCCCTTGCCAGTCTTCCCCTTCCTGACTCCTTTGGCGTTACGCAGGGCGCCGGCAAGGTGGCGGGGACCCTGTGGCCAACCATCCATGAGGATGGCCGTCTGGAGCTGGTATCCGACCACGATTCTGGCAGAGGTGCCCTTGTCGAGCTCGGGCAGAAACCCCCGCACTATGTCCACGGCCTGTGCTACCTCCGGAAGGTTGGCGTAGCCTGGTTGTATCTCTGACGTGACCTCCCAAGAGGGTGTGTGAACCAGCAGGAAGCGATGCTTGTCTGCGCTTGGCGGCGGATCTAGCTGCTCGAGGGATGCGCGGAGGTCGCCCTCGTCGGACTCGGTGAGTTTCGCCAGCTCTGTCAGCCGCCCAGGTTCCCAAGCACTAATGTCTCTCCAGGGGATGCCTCCGACGATTGGCCTTTCTCTGAGCGGATCCAGGATACCTGACTTCATGCTTTTCCGTAGTAAGCTGCGTTCGGAAAGGCGAGAAGCTGCGGATGCATCCGATAGCAAATCGAAAAGTGGACCACGGACGATTCTTGGCCGCGGAGCGCGTGAAACATCCTGTCGAAAATGCTGACACAAAGCCCTAGGTCGTTCGCGAGCTTGGAGAGCACCGCGGGGGGCAACTGATTCGGGTCACCCACGAGGACCAGGGCCCCCCCGCTGTTGATCACATTTACCATGGACATGAGTGCGTGGAGCTCTGTGGCCTGTCCGGCCTCGTCGATTACCAGAAGGGCGACGTGGGGGCTGTCTTTTTGTCCGAGGGCCTCGGCAGCCTGATGTGTAGACATGATCACTCTGGCCTCTCGTAGTAAGCTCGTCTTGTAGGGTATGAAGTCCTGGCTCTTGTCCCCGTCCTGGAACGGGAATTATCCGTGGGCGTTCCTGCAGTGGCCTTCAGGCGTCAGGTCAACGAGCGCCTCATTGACACGGTCCTTCTTCGCCAAGCGCACGCAACTTTCAGGGAACTTCGTGTCTGGGTCGAGGCGTCGCTGGCGATGTGTTTCGATCATTGCCAGAGCTGGTTGGCCCACCGCTGCGTCTGAACCTGCGGCCAGAGCAACAGCCTGGGCGTAGGCAGGAGCCCCACATGTCCAAGCAGGCGACCGAGAAGGTGGTCTTGCCTGTTCCAGGGGGTCCGTGCACTAGTACAGCGTGATGGCTCAAGGTGGCCTCCAGGGCCTTGGTCGCATCGCTGTTCGGCTTGTGCCTGTCCAGTACACCGCGGAGGGCATCCATGCTGGGAGTAGGTCGTACTCTCTGGAAGACAGAGCCTGTCGCCTCCGAGATCTCCTCGTCGGAGAAAGCCCTCAGGCCCTGGGGGAGTGGCGGCGCCTGTTGTAGAAGGCCACCTCGGACGGCCTGCGCGCGGTCGGCGTCGGGAACGTCCTGGTCCAGGGTGGCAGCCGCCCTGGCCCTAAGGCTCAGCCGCAGGGACAGAGTGTGTCCCAGGTCGTTGGCCACAAGTCGCTCGGTCCGCGGGGCGTGCGCGAAGGCCAAGAGAAAAGTTACGGGTGGCAGCTGGTGGGCAAACAAGTCCGCTGGGCTCTGGCGAAGGTAGTAGATCTGATCGAGCGCCCAGCACTGCCGCCAGAACTGGATGTCAGAAGGGGCTTCGTCCACGCGATACCAGGGGGCGTCATCGCTTGGGGGGCGTTTCGCCTTGGACTCGTCTTCGTGGAACTGACCTACCTCGCCGCTGTTGTAGACCGCGACGCACCTGTTGGGGGGGTACCTGGCGGAAGGGCTGAGACCGAGCGCTTGGGCGTCTCTAGGGTGGATAGGGCCCCCCAGAGTGGGGGGCCACCAGACTGTGACGTCTGCGATCTTGTCTACTGTGGGGCCCGTGACGGAAATGTATAGCCACCTGCTCTCTTCGTCACCTTCCAGGGGCCTGGATGCAACCTTGTACATTGAGGGCCACTCCAACAAGAAGAGCTCTTTACCGTCAGGTAGATTCATGGCATTCCGCAGCCGAAAGGTATCCAGGTCATCCAGCTCGGCGCTGGCGTCGATCCTGGTGATGCGAACTCCGAGAGCACAGTCACCTCTCCTGGCCAGGTCCTCTCGCGTGGAGCCTTTACCGTCGTCCACCGCCTCGACAGAGGCCTGGCTTTCCACCCAGGCGATCCCCCGAAGCGTCTGTCCTCGATCCTGGAGAGAGTAGGGCCACTGTGAGGGGAGACGAACTGCACCAGTCAGCTCCCCGAGCGCCGCCTTGGGATGGACCCTGGAATGCGGGGAGTCCAGGGGTACCGAGTAGAGACTGACGACCTGTGGCCGCCTGCATTGCCAACGACTCGTCCAGGGCAGCTGGGCTTGTCGGAGAGAACGCGTCATCCTCGGAGGGCATCGCACTGTCTTCGGCGAACAAAACTCTTCGCTGCTGACTGGGCGGGCCCCAGGCGGGCGGAGGGCGGGGCGGCGGGGGCGGAGGAGGGGGTGCGACCGAGGCGCCGGTGGCCTGTCCAGGTACGGTAGGATGGGGCCCGATGGTCGATTTTGCTCGCATCCTGTTCTCGTCGCCGCCGTCGGACTGCCTGAGGCCTCCACTTGCGGCACCCCGCCTGTCCATCAGGTGTGTCCGCACCGTCTCCGGGTCAGACCTGGTGCCCCCAGGGCAGTTGTACGTTGGCGCGTCGTCCCAGAGAGGGTAGGTGATGGGCACGCGCAGCGCGTCATCTGGCATCGAGATGCCAGGGAGCGAACGTACCCCGTCATGGGACACCGAGGGTTTGACTGGCCTCCAGCCGGGCCAGGGCTTCCGCACGATGGACAGCCGGTGGAACGCGCCCCAGGAGTGCCCTCCACAATTGCTCCAAAGACTTTCAGGAGTGACAAAGGTGTTCGGGTCTGGCCAACCGTCCTGGCACCGCGCTTCCGACATCTCATAGTGCCTGTCGCTGAGGATGTGCTGTGTGTCGTCCACGGGCTCTCGGCAGATTTCGCACCCGCGCCGCCACCCGCCATGGAAGTAGACCCAACGCATCCAGGGACAGAAGCGGGCCAGGAAGACACGCGTGCCCATGCGCACTGGCGGCCCGTCGTCACTGCACGGCAGGCAAGAGGGCCATCGTCGGATGGGGCCTTGGTTGTTCTTAGG